ACACAAAGGGTCATAAAACTCCCCAGTATTTCCAACCTCCCGCTTGGAATTTCAGCCTTTTTCATTGGACAAGCCCATCCTGAGAGGCGTGAATCTTCTCAGACCTTAAAAAGGCTCACGCACAGTTCCGCTGATGTTGTTGTTTTTCTTCTGCTAAAAATCTTCTGATTGCGGCCCGTGTTGGAGCTTGAGCCGGTGCGGGTGTGCCCGGTGGGCTCCAACACATAGTCGGTCAGTCTGCGGTTCTGTTAGATACAGAGAAGATGAGGATGTGAGCTAGAAGTCTTCTGTACCTTAAGTCTGTGCCAGGCCTCGGGCCTTGACTTTCCATTCACCAAAGATCCCTTTCCTAGAGTTGATATGAACTTACACTGAATGTCGATCTGACGAACAGATTGGTTGATGGCAATTTAATTCTGCTACAGTTACTACTGGCAGCTGATATAAATAATTGTAATTAATCATAATTAACTGTAATTATTTATATACATTTCCCTTTTGAGCTAATTTGCTACAGCACATATTAATGCCTTATTCTGCATGACTATATTTTAGATCACTTAATCCTACCTAACACCTAAACTTAACAACTACCTTATTAATTATTAATAAGCAGAAAATGTGGAGTTTATTGAGGCAAAAGTCTTAGTTAATAGTTAGCTAATAGTGAGAATTGGTCCCCAAACTAAAGTGTGACCATTTTTTTTTAAATTATTCATTGGTATAAAGCTTAAACATGAATTTATTGCAGGTTAAATCCCTCTGGAGTAACCTGGGATTCATCCACAGAGCTGTGAGTGTGTAACAGGACGAACAACCAAATTAGTCCAAATATCTAATGAACGAACAAGCAAGGTATGAGGGATCTGTTTATGAACAACAGGCGCTCCAATTCTGTGTAAATCTGCTTCTGCAGACACAGATTGCTGTTGGGCCTCGTAACATTGACTTACTGTGTTGCTGCATGTTCTGTAGCGGATGTTCCTGCCCTCACAGTTCCTGTGGAACAAACACAAAACAAAATCAGATATGTTACAAAGCCATTGTTCTTCTTTGTGGCACAGCCCCTCCATCTTTTGTCTCAACAGTAATCATTTTTAGACCTGCTTCTGATTATTCTCTCTTTAAACCGCTCACTTATTTATGAGGTTCTTTGTCTGTTTGTGTGCTTCTTGGGAACATAAAATAAATGCATGCTATATTGAAAAATAAAAAAGCATTATTTTCCATTGTGAAGTACTTTTCACTTAGACTGCCAGTCAGGTAATAACAACAACACTGTCAATCTAGTATAAGTGCATTTAAAAAATAAAAATAAAAATAAAAACAGGAAATGATTTGCCATTCGTGACTCTTTCCGAATAACATGAATCCAGCTGCAGCTGTATGAAATATGCAGCAATGTGTTTTGAGAAGAGGATGTTTAGATACAGAAATAGAGAGAAAACTAGAAAAAAGGACAACAGGATAATGACTTTCTAAATGTCCTATTACCTCAGCCTAAAAGCATTAGCCTATCATATTTCAGCGTATTAATTCCGCTCAGAAGAGCAGCAGTCACCCTAAACAGAAAAGGTTCACATCACGACTTCTGAAGGGTGGAAAGAAGATGCAACCAGACTGTTATTAAGATCTCAATCTTTCTCTGCAATCATCCAGCCCTTGAGCGAAACGATTTAGAATGAAATACTAGCTTTTTCAAGTATTTACCAAGACCACAAATAACTAAAACTAAAATAAGAAGTCATAATTAACAATTAAAACTATATATATGACAAAAACTCAACAAAATTACTAAAACTCCAAAATTGAAAATTAATAAAAACCATAATAGTATTTTAATGATATAAATAACACTGTTCAGAAATCATTCTAATATGCTAATTTGATGCTCAAGAAACATTTCTCATTATTATCAATGTTGAAAACAGCTGCTTAATATTCTGATTCTGATATTTTTTTTCAGGATTCATTGACGAACATAAAGTTCAAAAGAACAGCATTTATTTGAAATATAATTTTTTTGTAACTTTTTTGTAACATTATACGTCTTTACTGTCACTTTTGATCAATTGAATGTGTCCTTGCTGAATGAAAGTATTCATTTATTTAAATCATCTCAATTTTACTGACCCCAAGCTTTGTGAACAGTACTGCTTCTGTTACACCAAATACACAAAATAATGATCTTTAAAATAGCATCATATGACCCCTTTAAGGCTGCTTCAAGGCAGAAAAGTGTTATTTGGTTAAACTGTCTTTTCTATGGTCAGCCTTCTCTTTCAGGTCAACTACAGCCTGGCCTGTCTCCATCCAAACCATCAATGTCTGTTATTTCTACTCCAGTGCCCTTTAACAGGTGCTCTGGCCTGTGTGCAAGCGATATTGCTCGGATGCTACGATTCAGAATGAGCGTCTTTGTTCGCTGACCACATAATCAGCTGTGGAATCACTTCCAGATCTTCCTGTAATCAGCAGAACGCAATCACAACACAAGCTGGCCCATTGCTACAGCTCTTCTAAAGTTTACTGACAATAAACAAAAGGAGGAAGAGAGCCGAGGTTACTCCAGTAGCACACAGCAAACCCATGATGGTCTGCTTAATATTGCAAAAACTTAATCTGTGCAAGACATTTTTCAGGGGACGAAATGGCAACAAATTTCAAAATGGTTATTGATTTGGGATTTCTTTTTATTTTATTTTTTTGTATAAATCCCCAAACCACGTGTCAAATATACTCAAGAACCATATAAACCAAAGAGTACATAAGACAAGAGACAAAAGCTTGACTTAAAATCTTTTTGTTTTCAAAATTGATAATAATTAATGTTTTTTGAAGACTGGAGTAATGATGCTGAAAATTCAGCTTTGCATCACAGAAATAAATGACATTTTAAAATATATTAAAATAGAAAACAGTTATTTGAAATTGTAAAAATATTTTTTTCACTGTATATTTGATCAAATAAATGCAGCCTTTGAGAGCATAATTATCCATTTAGCAGACACCATTATTCAAACCATGAATTTTGTTTGAATATTCTTGGAAAAAACAAATCATCACACAGGAAGCATTTAATTACAAATCATTGAGAATCATTTTAAGTTGAGGGTCAGCAGAGCATTTCCAATGAGACCCAAAGCAAGGCGTAATTGGCCCAATTGTTTTCAGTTGGATCTAACTGGTCAATTAGCTTTAAATGAGTTCCATTTTCTATGTGCATTGCTTTAGCTTTTGGCATCTACCCTCCAGCAATGAAGTAATGGGCACTGTTGCCAGATATCAGTATTAATGTGCAGAAACAAATAAGCCATTCATTGGGTGATTTCCACTGTTGCGCTATCAAAACATTGCTCTGTTTGTTTCAGTAAGGTTCGATACACCTGAAGAGAGCTATCTGTTAGCGTTCCCATTCATTTCAATGGCAGTTAGTCAGTACATAATTTCTCTCTCAGGTTTGGAGTCGTAAATAGCATGTGACTAATTACTCCAGAGCAGTAGAAAAAAGACATCATGGCAGTGTTGACAGAGGCGTACCTACATGAAGTGGGGGTTTAAGGCACAGTTGTTGCATGACAACCTAGCCCGTTATCATTTGCTCATGGAAACAATGATAAATAAAATGTTTTATATTTGGTTTGGAGTGGAATAGAGTGTGGGCAGAAGCATAAATTGGTGCCTATGCTTACTGTTGTCCTGTTTCCTCTTTTCCTCCTCTTTTTTTCGCTTCAGGCTGCCTGATAGATTTGTCCTCTTCTTTATGTTTAACGCGCATGTTTATGTGTGCGTGCGCGAACTTTTTCAGTTCATTCCTAAGTTGCGCAAGCTCAACTTCCATAGGAATGGATTAAAAACGCTTGGGTCCCGCGTTCTGCTCCGCTCAGATCCTGCATTTTCTAATCTACAGCACCACAAGGACACGCTGCACCTATTTGAAAAAGGCGGCCGAGGAGGCAAAAGCATAACCAGTGTTTCGAGAGAGGGGTCCCATAGGGGGGATGGAGTAGAGCCCTGCATTTCAGCCCGGGCCCCGACTTTTTTACGCCCCTTCAGGCCGGGCCTCTGGCCTGTTTTAGGCTTCTCCTTATTTTTATATTTTAGACATCCATCAATTAATGATGAAAAAATTGCCGCGCTGGTGGAAACAACACGAGACCATGCTACCGCGACTATCAAGAGCGGTTCGACGGTGTTTAGTGTCCCGCAGCAGCATGTATGGTGCGTGCCATCAGCGCAGCTGAAGAGTTCTGCGTTCAAATGCACGCAATAGGCTTAAGCTCGCCGCAAAGCATCGGCAGAAGTAATTACCGTAAATGTGTCAGGGGGAAAGAGGATCGTGGAGCCGTTTCCACGGAGTCGTTGGAGGATCGTGGGAGGAACAGCAGGTAACCGTAATTCGTTCTAGGAGATTTTGGCAGAGAGAGTCCAGAGTAGTTCGTCAGAGTGAACAGTAGACCGGACAGTGAGTGGCTGTGCTGTGTGTGTATTTGTAGTGTGGCTTGATTGGTGACAGCAGGTGCGGGTGATCAGAACTCAGGTGACTGTGATCGGGTAATTATCCTGGATGGTGACTGAAGTGACTGTGATGACTCCCTGACAACTATAATATTATACCCAGAAGACACATTTTGCTGTATCCATGAATGATTCGATTCTCTTGGCTTTATTTTAATGTCAACGACTTCGCTGTAATATATTTTAAATCATGTAAATTATGTACATGTATAATTAATGGTATGTGTAACATTATTATTTGAGCAACAAAACCTTTTTTCTTCCCTTTAGAAGGAGAAAGTAAGACAGAAATGGAAATAGAAAAGTGGAATTAAAAGGAGAGAGAAAGACAGACTCTTAAATCCAAAGTGTCATGTTTTCCATTCTTTCTGGAAACGAAGCACTTCTCGGTCCTCTCTGAGGTCAGCCATAACCACGAGTGGCCTGACATCACAATGAATGACAGATATCTGCTGCTGACGGCTGAAATCAACTGTGGGGCTGTCATATAGAGAACAACATGACAAAAACAGAGATTTGACAGGATTTTCACTATATGCTTTTGTCTGTGAAGACAGATAACGAATAACTTCGCCAAAAGACATCTGTCTCTAAACAGGAAAGTCAATTTAGTTCTCAGTAAAGCATTATTTATTTGCAAAAACCACATGCTTTGATATAATGCAATACAATTCAATGATTTTAAAGTGTGACTGAAATGTCTTTATCAGCACAGTGCTCAAACAACACATTTTTGGCACAAACACTAAAACTAAAAACTCTTTGGAACTGGAATAATACCACGAAAAAGAAGACTTTGCCTCCCACAGCCAGCAGCTTACATTCCGGAGACGGGAAAACACAGCTGCCCACATTCAAATAGAAGAGAAAGAAAATGCCTCCTGTTGAATCTACTTTCTGCATGAACTGCTGCAAACTTCTACAAAGGATTGCGGTTCTTGAAACAAAGTTACTTGCTGGACTTCCAGAACAGGCAGAACACTCAGCAGACCGTCGTCACGGACCCCCTCAGCATACAGCCGATGAGTCCGGCGGAAGACGAAACTTGAAATCCACTATAGCATATATAAAGATAGCCTTCGTGCTTTCAATGTGGAACTAGGCAAAGCTAGACAGTCATTCTTCTCAAACCTTATAAACAGTAACTTAAACAACACTCACACTCTTTTTGCTACTGTTGAGTTTGCTTCCTTCTTTTCTGAGAAGATCAATAATATCAGGAAGGCGATTAGCACATCCCCAAGTTATGCAGAGGTTAGACAGATTCGACCACAATATCAAAAAGAAGATACTATGTCTGCTTTTGAAGAAATTGATAGCAACATTTTGGAAGAAATAGTACAGCATATTAAATCGTCAACCTGCTATCTTGACACACTTTCCAAATATTTTTTCAAAAGGGTGCTTAACTGTTTAGAAGCAGATCTCTTAGAAGTGGTGAACGCCTCACTTCTTTCTGGGACTTTTCCAAACTCCCTGAAAACTGTAGTTGTTAAAATCCTTCTGAAAAAGAGAAATCTTGATAACCTTTCTGGGACTTTTCCAGACTCCCTGAAAACTGCAGTTGTTAAACCCCTTCTGAAAAAGAGCAATCTTGATAACACCATTTTGAGCAATTATAGACCAATATCAAATCTTCCTTTTATAGGCAAGATTATTGAAAAGGTAGTCTTTAATCAGCTGAACAAATACTTAAACTCAAATGGATACCTGGACAATTTTCAATCTGGTTTCCGACCGCATCACAGCACAGAGACAGCACTCATTAAGATAATAAATGATATTCGCTTAAATTCTGATTCTGGCAAAATATGTGCTGGTACTACAATATCTCAGTACTGCGTTTAACACTGACGATACTACTAGAGAGACTGGAAAACTGGGTCAGGCTTAGAAGGGAGAGGTTATTATGCGAGTATAGGAGAGCATAAGTCTAAGTGTACGTCCATGACATGCGGAGTCCCACAAGGCTCAATTCTTGCACCGCTCTTGTTTAGCCTGTATATGCTGAGACTGACAACCTTCTTTCCTGAGAAGATCAATAATATCAGAAAGGCGATTAGCACATCCTCAAGTTATGCAGAGGTCAGACAAAGGAAACAAAGATGAAGTTCTCAAGGTGAATGCATACCTTGACTCTAGGGGTCTAACAACTAAAAATCAAGTCAGGAATCTTGGTGTGATTCTGGAGACAGACCTTAGTTTCAGTAGTCATGTCAAAGCAGTAACTAAATCAGCATACTATCATCTCAAAAACATTGCAAGAATTTGATGTTTTGTTTCCAGTCAAGACTTGGAGAAACTTGTTCATGCATTTATCACAAGCAGGGTGGATTATTGTAATGGTCTCCTCACCGGCCTTCCCAAGAAGACCGTTAGACAGCTGCAGCTCATCCAGAACGCTGCTGCCAGGATTCTGACTAGAACCAGAAAATCTGAGCATATTACACCAGTCCTCAGGTCCTTACACTGGCTTCCAGTTACATTTAGGATTGATTTTAAAGTACTTTTACTCGTTTATAAATCACTCAATGGCCTAGGACCTAAATACATAGCAGATATGTTCACTGAATATAAACCTAACAGACCACTCAGATCATTAGGACCGAGTCAGTTCGAAATACCAAGGGTTCTGGAATTCTGGGAATGTTCTTTTACAGCTTTTCACTTATTATAGGGCAATTCACTTATTAGAATTAGAATAATTTATAGTTTTTACTTGCAAAAATATATTTGACAGCATTTTGCAGTACAGTTTTTTTAACAGTAAAAATGACAGACATTTTTACAGTGTAGATTTAAAGCAGCTGCATGTAGTTTTGTGTATTTTTGTGACTTTAGAGCCCCCTACAGTTAAGTGGTTGGAAATCACTGTTGTAGTGTAATGCTGTATACATGCATTTGTTTTCGCAGAATTTCGTACCCGCTCACCAAACTTACATACTCCCAGAACAGCAGTTTGGGTGGAATGTGAGAAAGAAACCGAAGCCATTCGCCTTATTAGAAGTCAGTGTGCCATCAGAATGATTTTGAAACTGATATTTCAAGATTACACACAGTGGCTCTAAGGGAAGGGCTAGTGTTTGAGATGTCATGAAGTTATGAATAGGGTTGGGTATCGATTGTTTTTTTTTACGATACCGGTGCCAAATCGATACTTTTAAAATGGTACCGGTGCTTAAAAGGTGCCTGAACCGATACTTAAAAAAAAGAGCCACAAAAAAAACGATGGATAACATTAAA